AAAAAAAAAAAAAAAAAAAAAAAAAAAAACTCGTCCCAGCAAGGCACATAATGGCTTCTATAGCATTTAGTTACACAGCGTTATTTCCATTAAGCTGTTTGTAAATATATTGTAGCTTTGATCAGTGTTGGTTTGATGGATCCTCTAATTGGTTTGCTCTCTCACTGGTTTTTCTGCCAATCAGCCTTCCAAAAGTAATATCAATTAAACAATACAATGACCCTGTAACTGTAAACAGAACTGCAGAACAGCTGGCTACCATCTTGAACAATATAAAAAAGGAGAGATGGCTTATTACCATAGAAGGATTGGATATGACCCACTCAAGCAGATAAGCACGGTGCATCATAAATCACCTTACAGGCAAAGGCACCAAAAAAGACACTGCCCTGTGTCAGCAAACTCCATCATACAAATATTATGCAACAACAGTAAGTACAGTAATCCAAGAAACCAACTCACAGAAATGATTAGACTCCTGAATCATGAACCACTTAAAAGTACACAATGTCGACTTTAATTTAACCACTCCCATCTCTGACAATGAGGTTGACACAGCTATTGAAGTGATCAAGACTGGCAAGGCTGCTGGCCCAGGTAAGATACTCCCAGAATTCATTACCAAGCTCGGAACCACAGTGAAAAGTTGGCTCCAGAAATTCACGTATAAGTCTCTAGAAAGTAACAGACTTCAAAAACCAGGAGAAAAGCTGATATTATTGCTATCCTGAAACTCAATAAAACCACCAGAGGATCCAAAGAACTACTCACCTAACTCACTACTCTGTTACATACAAACTCATGGAGCACATAATTCTGAATAAAACAGAGAACATCACTGATCCCCAGCTCCAAAAAGAACAAGCTGGTTTTCAAAAAAAGGCAGTGTACTACTAACCAAGTTACATTACTTACATCTGACATAGAAAACAGCTCTGAAATCAGGCATAGAACAGGTGCGGTCTTTATCGACCTTACAACCACCTATGATACTGCATGGCATCAAGCCCTCAAATATAAACTGCACTCTATGATACCTGATCACAAGCACACTTTCATCAAGAACATATCATTTAAACTCACTACTAATCAAGGAGAAAAAAGCAGAGTACAAACTCAGAAGAATGGAGTCCCCCAAGGGTCATTGCTAGCACCACTACTTTTCAATGTATACAACTCATACTTTCTGCATCCAAGCGATAAATGTATGTTGACAATGTCACCAGAGTAGCTCAAGGACTTGACATGACAGAACTGGAAAAGATACTGACATGGAACTCATCACTGACTATCTCCACAAGTGGCGCTTTAAGTTGAGTATCAATAAATCAGTATCATCACTCTTCCACTTGGACTATCGTTGAACCAAAGCACATGAAATATCAGAGAAGGCAATCACATCCTTCCCCATGAGTACACCCCAACCTTCCCAGGAGTCACATTAGGCCATTCTCTCACCTATAAACATCAATTTCAGATGGTCAGCATTAAAATCTCTGCACAGATACCTGCCTTAAGATCTTTAGCCAGCATGACATGGGGTGCCAACTTCTGTGTACTTTGAACCACTGGACTCACAATTGCCTATGCCCCCAGCAAAAAACTGTCCTCCCATATGGTCCAGAAGCTGTTGCACTAGAAAGCTCTGCACAGTACGTAATAGTGTGCTGAGACTCCTAACAGGCTGCACCACTCATACACGCACACAGATGTGTTCTCTTGGGCATTAGGCCAAGTGGAAGACAGACCTTAACATCATTATTGGCAATAGAGGCAAGAGATGATGAAAATCACCTGTTTCACCAACTGTTAACTGAAGACACAAACAGATGGAGGTTTAAGAGGCTTAAGTTATAAACCGTTTATACATGAAGCCCACAAGATCCTGGAAGAGATTGGGGATGCTGAACCAAACTTATGGGCAATAACAGAGTGGGCCGACCACCGAGAAGTATCAGACCTATTCATACAGCAGTTTATACCAATACAAAATGAGTCCCCCATTGGCCATGAGCTTGACAGAGAAGCATGGGTCAAACCGAACACACTGAGAACTTGATATGGATGCTTCAAAACAACACTTCACAAGATGAACACCTTGGACACCCAGCCCCCTATGTGAATGTGCTGCCCAACAAACAGCGCAACACTTAACCAAAAGCTCCAATTTTTACAAATGCCCGGACTGGGCAGATAGAATCCACACATTGAGCAATAACACCAGACAATAGCTCAGACTTGGAAGTTAATATCTGATGCCATACAAAATAAGAGATATCAACCTAAGAAATTCTTTCCTCACATGATTTCTGGCCCACCACTCTTATGCTACCATCTTAAATGTATTAATAGCAGCTGATTTTGTGTCAACATTGTCCCTTTTATTTAAATCTATTTCCTCATGCTCTTGTGTTTGTCCCCACCATATTAATAGAAAGCAATCATTCCCCTTTTCAGCTCTTTGTGAAACTAAAGAAACCAAGCTGTCCTAAGAAAGGCTTTTAATTTTCTCGATCATCCTATTAGCCTTCTCTGTACCCATTCCAGTTTGAATTCTTCATTTTTTAACATTGTGTCCACAACTGTGGTATTTTAAGAAAGGGAAGAGTTGTCTTTTGTACATTTCCTGAATCATCACAACTACAACACTTAAACCCTACCACCGATTATTTTACATGATGTCTCATCATTGCTTTGTATAATGGTGTAAGGACTTCTGTATGTCTACTAGAAATACACTGCCTGATCTATTTTAGGATCATATTTGCCATTTAACCAGCCACATCGCATTGGTGTTTCACATTGATCCAAATACGCCATGTTTTTTTCTTCCTCGTCATTTCCAAACAATGAACCTCTGGTTCTAAGCAAAAATATTTCTTAGCCCCCAAGTGAATAGCTTTGCATTTTGTACTACTAAATTTCACACCATTTCCCTTAATTCAGACCTCAAGGTCTTCTAATTCTTCCCATGACAATCTATTCCTCTTCAGTGCTGACAAGGCTCCTAACCTGGCATCCTTAGCATATTTCATTAGCATTTCATTTCTTACTAGTGGTAGAGTCACCAAAGGCAAACCCTTGAGAAACCCTATTAGTTGCACCTCTACAGCCTAAAAGGACCCCTCTTCAGCATAAATCATCTTAATCTTCCTTTTTGCATGTTCTTTACTCATTTTACAATGCTTCTACTAATCCCTCTTTTCCCCAGATAAACTAATTAACTAACTTTCCTACATGGCACCATATACATGTTTTGCAGTTCTGATGTATTCTACTTCATTTCTCTCGTCTAAAAAATCAGTTTTCCAGGAACACTTTTACCACTTTCTTCAATAGATGTATTTTAGTTGCAGTTCTCTACTCATATGGTACTAGCCCTAATTTGATACACTTATTAAAAAAATATGTTATCACTCCTCCAACTTCATATGCCAGCTCTTTCAGAACTCTGTGAAGGCAACTGTCCCAACTTAAGTACATTTTAGTTTCTTGAGTTTTGCTTCCACCTAGGATATGGTAATTTCCATTTCTTTACCCCTTCATTCCAATTAGCCATTATTTCTTTCTCCCTGTGTCATTATCTTTACTGGCAACCAACTCAAAGCATTTGTTTAGTTTTTGATTTGCTAAGATAATTTTGTCACTCCACCTCCTAATATGCTTTCTCTTTTCTTTTTTTAAATGATGAA